AACAACGAACGGTCTTTGTAAACTGTTATAACATTTTGAATGGATGTATGGGCATGTGTGCAGCTCAAAACTATCCTATTGAAATTAATTATTAGAATTACCATCGAATCGAAATATTTAATCGATATGACGTATAAATTAAACACTTTTATTAAATTTAGTCGATAGTTATTTAGAACATGAACCAGATGAGACGGATAGTACAAATATTCGCTGCTTCTATAGTTAAAAATTGCGAACCACTTTTTATAATGCCTATTAATCATTTCCTTTGGAAGAAGTACGAATTTGAACACTATAATTTTTCATCCACAGTATTTGTATACATCAAACGAATTACCATAACAGAGTAATAATTTATACTATGAACGCCAAAATAATAAGCAATACAACTATATTAATATTATCTGCGGCAATCTCTATGGATCTGTTTGATCATAAACGAGGAGTAACCGAAACGGTGTAGTGGCATTGAAAAATAAAACCATAATATTAAACGATACAATATTTAAATGATGAAGCAACTTTAAAATATAAGTATATTTATTTTTATCCTGAGTAAGCACACTTGATGCATAAACGCATTCGATAAGACAGCCCGGAAACCTCATATGTCAGAGGTGTAATTACGTATGGTAGATCTCCGTACAGAACTTTATTTTATCAATAATTTGCAAAATATTTTATTTTTATATTGTACGTGTTACCACGTATATATTTTTAAGAACCTAGGGAGTTAGATATAGTTTTATAAAACCTAATATAACTAACCTAATAATTTCTATGCAGAATATTTACAATATTTTTAAGTATAGTTTAATAATTTAATAAACCAGTTATAATATAAATAATTGTATTACTTGTAGAGTTTAGGATGTTCTTGGAAGTGATTTAATGTGTACGGATTTTTATTTCAAATAATTTGAATGCTCCCTTCCCTCTCACCAAAATAAATTACTATTTACGCCATTATATAGAGGTGGTGGTTCAAGTTTTCCGTACAGAGTACTCTATATATTATGAGGTTTAATTCGAGAAGGCTAAAAAACACTATTTTAACTTAGTAATTACACGCCACTGACTATTTTGGACTAGGAAACGTTTCGGTAGATCAACGGCGAAATAATTAATACTACAGTATAATTATCATGTATCAATTTAATTGGAACGCTCACCGTGCAAACGGACGAATGAAAACAAAGATCGACATGAAAAATATCTCGTTTCGATCGCGATACGCAAAACCCCGTTGGAACCAAATTAAATAGATATTAATATCGCATTTCATTCACTCATTGGTAATTATATATTACTTTGTCTTCAGTGATCAATATTGAAACAAAAATATGGTTTATAACTTTCTATAGACCATAAATGCCCATGGATAATATAACTACATTATGTGAATTCAATCTCCTGCATAATATGATTTCCTTTACGTATTTAATAATACGCAGACATTTCGTAGCAAATATTACGAGTATATTGCCTTTAGTGATGATCAAAATTGATCTTGGTCTTGGGATCTCGCAAGACTCTTGATACAAGACCAAACCAATACCAAAACTGCAAGACCAAGACAAAAACAAGACCATCACTGCAAGACTCTTGTAGTCTTGCAAATTTTTTTTTCCCCGAAAACACATTAGTTATCTAGATTTCATTAACTAATAATTTATAACGAAAATTATAAAAAATTATTTGTATTGTTATTAAATTTGGTCAGTATTCCAGGAAATGACGAATTATTGAAAAAATGATTAGAAATAATTGGAATTAATATTACAAAATAACATAATATAGTTTTTTCATACTTAGCAATTACTGAAAAATTATATTTTTTTTCCCAAAATCGATGAAAACGTCGAAAGTTGTCTTGCTCATAAAATAATTTATGACTTATATCTATAATACACCTCTATTTTTAATCGAATATATTAATAATTGCTGGAAGTCATTACGGACTACGGTAGATATAATTTTGATTTGAAGTACGTTTTTATTTTCGTTAGTAGCTTGTGTGATTTTTCCATACAAGACATTGTGTACTTAAACTAGTGTCTTATACAGTATATCATTTCATTACTGTCGTAAACTTGTAGTCTATAATATTGATATTTATTATAAATGTAATAGGAACTTACAAAGTTAATTACACTGTTAAATTGATCATCAAATATAAATACAAGTAAAATAATATAAACATAATATTTTAAAATGCAATTATCGAGTCATGTTCACTTTTTTAAATAATTATTTTCAAAATACAATTATGTTTGATGTAAAATATAAAACTTACATTCTATTGAAGTTCATTGTTAATCATGCGCGTTTAAAAGTACAAAGATATAATTAGTATAACGATTTATGTTGTAAGAAATTTGTTTTCCTGAAGGTGAAATAGCATAACATATTTAGCGTTTATAGAACCTATGCTCTTTGAATTCTAAGGTTATTGAACTATATTAATATGCACATATAAAATGCAATATTCCAATAATTTCAATAGATGACACTTTTATGTTATCCAATAATTCACGTGTGGTTGTAGTTTTTCTGTAATGATTTTGTCTACATGAATTTGCTGCAATCAAGAATCTAATTAATTAGTAATCTATTATAAAATTGTGTACATTTATTTTTTGCACTGATTTAAAATTGAAATTGTCCGTTTGCACGTTCGTCGTATATTCATAACTTTTCAAATGTATATTCTGACTGGGTCATAAAATAATTTATGCACACCGATACTTTTGTGACGTTAATTTTACATTATATTTTTCTATTTTTTACGCCTCACGTTTGGCATGACATTGGATGGAAACCTGTAATACTGACTCGTTTGTTCAATATGATCTCAAGTTTAGTCGCACGGAAGTTTTTATTAATTTTTTATAAATTAAAATTCACAAATTGTACATGCAAAAGATTCAATTTGATAGTAGACAGACAATTGAAGTTACGAGCCAGTTTTTACGCATATAAAATTCTATAAAACTCTGTAAGTATTTTGGATATTGGTTGTAATATATTATTATAGCTAGGGCCGTAATATGGAGGGTGGATAGAGATGCCTATGTCCCGGGTGCAAAAATGAAAAATTTGCAATTTAATTATTATAAGTTACTTATTATTTATAAGTACAAGTAATACTAAGTATTTACTTAAATAACTTATTTATATTTTAATAAGTTATTGATTTATTAATAAAATTAACAAACGTTTATATAATCATAAAAAAAAATTATGTTAATTATGCATTATGTTCTAATCAAGTTAGTTATATGGATATAGTTTTTTTTCCATGGGTTTTTCTGCTGTCTCACGCCAGGGGCGGATCCAGGGGGGGGTTCAGGGGGTCAGTTGACCTACAGTTAATATTTTTTGACAAAATTGGCCTCTAGGAAATTGTTCTCTCTTTTTAGACCTTTATTTGAGCTCTTGGACAGTTGGCCCATCGGAGTTACTTAAAAAATGAATGCTATGTATATTTAAAATTTAAAATTTTTCAATTCATAATTTATATTTTAAATTATATCGTTTTAGTAGAAAGTTAAGTAAATCATATTTTATTCCGTACGTTTGTTGCGCTGATAAAATTAGATAATATTTATTAATCGTAAATATATCATTATCGGTGGTATCACTAATTCTAAAATGTAATATAAATATATTTATACACTTTTATGAGTATATTGTGTTTTTTTTTTTTTACAAGATATTAATTTCTAATTCAGTTTCATCCCTAATAAATGGCCTCTTGAAATGGCTTGACCCACAGTTCCTCGACTCTGGATCCACCCTTGGCTCACGCGTGGTTAGGTTCATTCGGCGTATTCGGCACATACCTATTTACAGTGGCGTAAACTGAGTGGTACAAATGTGAGACTTGCAACACCACATCTATAATGTGGTGGTGCAAAGATATGTTTTTATACCACCAGAAAATCATTGAAATTTGTATACCTGTAATATAATTTCATGAGTCAAGGAAATCAGCATACTAAAAACAAAACTTGACTGTTTTTTTTATTAATATTATAATAATAAAGGTTTTAATGCTAAAATAATTTAAAATGTATTTGTTATTTAAATATATGGGAAAATATATAGTTTATTGGGAAGAATTTTACTTAAGAAATTGGAAAATTGGTGTGTTGAAAATTATAAGTTGAGAATTTGCCTCTTCACCACCAGAAATTGGATACAATTTACACCACTACCTATTTATACAATATAATTTACTGTACAGTTATTATAGGTGTAATATTGACAAATCGTGCGCAACATATTACATTAGGTATTGTTGAATTGAAATATTATTTAGTCTTACAATAACTTGTGATATTCTAATTGTACACATGTTCGATTGCGTATACGTTTATTTCTACAAATTTAATTAACGAAACAATACAAACACATAACTTCGAGCCTAAAGTAAACCGTACGGTACCTAAAAACTGCGTGTTATGCGTACCCGATTCTTTTTCCTATTTTCGCCGCGGTATACGTTTCTGTGCGAACAAATACGGTATCCTCCAGAAAAGTAAAATCCGTTTTCGAGGAAATTCGAAATTCTGAATGGGAGGTGGGGAGGAACCAAAAGTCGCCACGGCTGGTGGGCATGTCGAAATCGAAAGTAATGTAGGTCTAATCGTAAAAAATGAACGATCGTGATGACGTACGCGGAGAAGCGAGACGGAAGGAAAAATTAGATAGGTACCATTAGACGATTAACGGGGTGGGGGGGGGAGGAGAGAAACAATAATAATAATAAGAAATTAGAAAACGAACATTGCCGGTGCTTAAAATAATATCACATTGTCATCGTCCAGGATATAAAATACGAATACAATACGCGTAATTATAACGCGGTCGCGATAAACGATGACTATCACCGGTCACGTATAGAGTAGTCGGTGTCGTCGTCGTCAAGGAAACGCGTAGCGTCTTGGCGGACGGTCGGTGGCGTTCCATAACGCATCGCGTGTTGCGGACGCGCTCACGACCAGTCCGGATCGAACGGTTTGCCGAAACGCACGTTCTCCTCGCGCAATCGGTCCCCGTCTCGTGACGCTCACCCCCATAATCGTAATACCGTTCCACAATAAACTTAACGTTATCGTCATATTTATTTATTTTTTTTTTTTGCCACCCCGTCCGTCGCGGCACGTTCTGACATCGGTTTGCGCGGACTCTGTCCCTCCGAACCGCACGGCACCGTGCTCGACCGCAGATACGAATCGCCGGGAGCTTTGAACACATCCGAAACATAATATTGATTCGTGATTACGTGCTTCGACAAGAAGATTCGTTGTTTTCGCACGTCCGTGGACGGCCAACGAAACGTACAGAACGCGCGTCCCTCCGCACGACGAACACATCATCGTTCGAATAATACAGCTCGGCCGCACCGAGACGAGCGGTTTTCGATATAGATGCGCATCGATAGCTGCTCGATTTGTTTCGAATAATTCCAGACAAGGTACAGTGATTTTATTTTTACGCGTTTACGCGAGAACCGACTGCATTACGATTACATCGTTTATCGATGAACATGTACAACATGATTACGTTTGGAATACAACGATCGATAATGATCTAAACTATGTTTTACCATTTGGCATGATTGATTATTTGATTTTCGATCCGTTTTGTGGGTTAAAATTATAGTGGTGTTTTTTCAAGAAACTAAGATGTTCGATACATCGGAAATAATAATATAATATTTATTTTACATGTTCAAATCTTATAAAATGTATTTGGATACATTTTTTGTAACTAAAATATATTTGAAGAGCTACGGTAAAAAATGATAATAGTCAGGATTTCTACACCTTTAAGCATTTTAGTTATAAAGTTTACAACTCAAAAAACTAAGAGATTAAGTATGAAATAATTCAAAAAATGTATTGTGGTTATACAACTCGTTTTTGATAAAATTAATAAATAAATAAATTTTACTTTTTAAACAAATTACAAGATGATACAATTATTAGATTTTTTTATTTTTTTTATTTTTTCTATTATCGTTTTCCCCGTAGCCCTTCATATTGTTATGTTATAACATAATAATTAAATGTTGAATATTAAATGTAAAATTAAAAAAAAATTACTATAGGATATAAATATAGTAGTTTATTGTCTATGAAGATGAAGAATTCATATTTTATGAAATATCATATAATTTTTGGTGTTAAAGTATCAACCTGCGTAATGTAACATAAGCGTTCATGATTAAATAAATATCATATATCATAAAATATGATTAGGAAGTGTTTTTAGAACTATTACTTTGTCTGCACAGATAATATCAGTAATTTTTTTGAGACCATTTCGAAAACTTTTCATAAAAACATTTATTTTTTGTTAATTATATTATTACGTTTAAAATATAATCAAAAACCAAATTCGTAACTGCCATTTTAACGTGTATTATTGTATAACCATAATAATATACCATAGTAATCTAGCAGACGTCTTCGTAAGTCGTATTTTATATTACTTTTTCTTCTATTCAGCGTTAATTTGAAATTCTATAATATCTAAAATCGTTTCCTATTATTATACGTCCAATTTTTGTGAACAAAAATTTTACCATGCTACTTATGTAAAAGACGAAAACAACAAATTTAGATTTAGTGTTATCTTAATATTTAAAATAAAAACAAAAATATGACTAAATACCTTTCATCATGTTTTCAAAAAACTCGTTTTAAATTTATTATGCAATACAATTCCATAATATGCTTTTAGTGAGGACTATCTAATCTATATAAGTTTGTTAAAATATCGAGAAAGGATAACGTTTTATGCTACACAACGCATTACTACATTTTGAAAGACGATTGCTCACTTACGTGTATTTTCGTCAACGTAAATATTACCGTGTAGCAGTAAAATTTAAAAATGATATAATGCAACGTTCTTAAAATTATTTTTTTGTTCTAATGACCTCCATTAGAAGAATAGCTTTAAAATATACTCATTATAAATAATTGTTCGTTTACCTCCGGGCAATAAAAATCTATCTGTATGCACTTATTTCATTTTTACCATATTGTAACTATGCACATCTGAATAAAATAATAAATTTACAATATTTAAATAGCGAATACGTAAATTTCTAATTTAACTGAAAATTGGACTTCTACAGTAACTTTATTTTATACAGAACATGTTCATTTTCTCGGTGAATTCGATTAATAGAATTATGTATTTCAAACGCGTATCTATAACAATTTTTAACTCGATATATTTTTAGATTTTACCATTTGGGCTTATGTTTTTAATACAACTTACAAAAGAAAATGTTCTAATTTACTCTACATTGTTAGCGGATAGTATGCATTTACAATTTGGTGTAGGTAAATGGGGAAGGGGCATGAAAACATTTTTTAAAGAAGACTTGGTCATAAAAATGTGCTCGTATAATAAACCATTGTGAATATATAATATAGGAAAGAATATATTCGGAAAAAGTCCGATTTAACGCACATAAAGTTTAAAAATTAAGATGCTATTTTAAAGAGGTATAGATTAATCATAAGGTTACACTTATTTTCTTATTGCAAAAATGTAGAACTCAATTTTGAATGATGAAAACTAACAGATAAGAAATAATAAATTGGAAATTTTATTTTAATAAATAGTTGATCAATATGATACAGTTAGTTAGTTTTTTTTTTGATAATCGCTTAAACAGAAGTACCGTAGAGTATATGCGACGCAAATCAAATAAAACCATTTATAAACTTGAAAACCAAAATATTTAAACCTGTTTTGAATCTTTGAACTGTGCGTGTATTTTTTTTGTTTTATATATTTGTTTTATCGCTCATTACAGAAAATTAAAAATATTTTACGGACATAAGTAATTTATGGAAACACACCATAGTGAATATTTCTTAACCAATAGTCTCGAATTCCACTTACTTGCAGGTATTTTAATTCACGATAATTTAAGAGTATAGCTCTATTTTAATACAAGATGAAATTAATTAGAAAATAATTGTAGAGTACAGGGTTACAGAATGTAGACGATTTAGTGATGAAATCACAAACGTTCACTATTTTTTCTCTTAGAGATATGTATTGTGTACTGCGTAATGCAATAATCTATGTCACATTTTGGCATCGCATTGAATTTTTAAACTTTTAACAAATTTAACTTTTTACAACTTTTTTTTAACTTTTTACATTATTGAAGTGGCTAATACAATCGATTTTAGTCACAACTAAAAATATACGTGCATTCGTTGTGTTTCAACACCATTATTATAGTGATTTTAATACGGACGTACATACACGAGTCTTATGCATAAAATAGTTTAATGTTTCTAAATTCGATAAAAAAAAATCTGTTCACATTTTGTTTTCTTTTCTAATCTAGCAGTGATAAAGCGAAAAATAAAATTAGATTTTAGATTTTGTTTGGATAAAAAAAGAAGGTTAGATATTACTATATTTAATAGAAATTCGATGACTTAAAATCGCCTCTTATTGTGATTCAATATAATTTATTTCCTACAAAATTATAAGGTTGTTTTGATTATTGTGTATTTATTTTGATTATTAATAGCTTATTAAACATAATTTATTCGAGAGTTGTGTGCTTAGTATAGGAAATATCTATGCAGTCTTCTGTATGTATTTTTCAATTTCGATTAGTCATCAATCCGATCTGTTGATTTATAACAATTTTACCATCGGGAATTTCTGAATATGTATTCGTTGATGGATTTTTTTTTTTTTTTATCGATGGTTTTTTATAAAAAAAAGTCTTGTTAGATATTTGATAATAAGTTTATAAAGGTACCTATACAATGTAGAGTAAAATTTTGCTAGAATAGATTTAGGTTTGTTACACTGCTCTAGCAGTGTATGTACATTATAAAGGATTTTAAGGAATTTGCTCTAGACAGAGAAGTCTATGGGAGTGCGTGGAAATATCTGACTAGATCAGTCTATGGCCTGTGTACATCTGTATATAATTTTTCGAGAGAGAGCATTTAGAGCATAGATGATAATAATACTACATACGAAAAATTTCGGACCGAACACACGTTGCAGCTGCAATTATATAACGGTAAATAAATAAATAAATAAATAAACAGATCTCCATACATTTAGTCTTTATTTTTCTGTCTCTGTATTATTCTGATGAATAATTCTAAAGTTCAGGAGACGACTAAATAAATTCTATTAACTAATAAGTTTTTTGTTTATCCCATACATCGTACCTTCTTAAGAAAATATTAAATAATATAACTTAAAAAAATTACTTTTAATAATAAAACGTATTTATACTTATAAACTTTAAATATTAAAAACAATATTGGAAAAACAGCTGTACACTGAACTATATGATAATATTTTATCAATATTGGTTATCATTTTACTGGTACATTATTGCTGTGTTATTTTCCTGCGCTCTATTTGTACTATATTTAGTTTATTTAGCATGTTGAACAGTTAGACTACTCTAGCTAGAGTGTCATATATATATGTGTACACTGCTTATAATTGTTTGCTACATCTAGAATTTGTTGATCTAGCTTGAGTCTTGTAATAATTTGAAATTGGACGTATCATTACAGTCTAGAGAAGCAACTGCTAGAGTTCTCTAGGTGCTGTGTACACTACCTAAACTAAGCGTGGACAGCTAGACTAGCTAGTGTAACTTCACGAAAAAAATCTACAGTGTACGGGTATCATAAGTTTATGCTTTAAAATCTTTTAGTGTTCAATACAATACATTAATTCAATGAGAAAACCCCGTGATCACAGTGGTAACGGTTGAATAAAGATGCACAAACATGTTACCATTATGAAATGTGTACCAAAGGAAGTTCAACTGTTTTTGAACTATTAATATTACAATCGATGTTATAATTAATGTAGTCGATACCGGTTAACTAACCTTAGACCATCCACGTGTTCGATCATTCCGAATGTAAAAAATGTTAAAAAATATTTATAATAATACACATAACGTATGATGTATTGAACACAAGGACCTTGTGCACTGCAATGTATACACGTACATTCGTATTATAATATATTATAGTAAGTACCGCAAGTCGTATAAACAAATTATCGATGTAAAAAGGATACCCCATACGTTTCGTCAAAGTCACAATTTCATTCCTGCTTACAAACATCCGTGTCAAGGATCGTTCGATTCTGTTCGCCGATGATATCATTATATTAGGTCATTTTCGCCTATTGTCTTAGGAATAATATAATAATCGTAGGATTATAATAATAATAATAATTTTTATATAAGAGAAACAATACCGCGCCGCGGTCGCCTCTTCAGTTTTTCCATCATCATCCATATATACATTCTCCGACGAGCGCCCATCGATCTGTTGTCCGTTTTCTTTCTTTTTTCACTTTTACCAAATTTTCTCACGTTTTCGTATCGGTCGATCACGAGAAAAATCCTCCGTAGATCGATACGGGCGCGGTGATGTAAACCGT